ATGTGCTCCTATGGCAAAAATATGAGAGTGCTCATGTGGTAGTTGAGATAGATATCAAAAAGCATACAGTTAATGTTAGACGATGTTCTCTGTCTTGTCCGGAAACTATGAAACTAGTGTACGGAAGAGATTGTATGTTTTCATATGCTAGGAAACCAATCATAAGATCTTTGAATTGTGTAGTAGGACTTTCAATAAGCTGGGAGATATTCGATAGGAATGTCACGTTCTTTGTACCATTCTATCGCATTATTGCATATTTGGCCAAAAGTAGCAGATAACGTAAATTGTAGCAGATAGTAAAAGTTTAATACTATAAGTATATTAGTTATCCTGAAATGCCGGCTCCTCCATACGTTATCAATCAATCCTTGCATTATCTGCTAAGGCTTTTATTTACGAAGAGTGAGAGGAGGAAAGAAGGGTATGCAATCAACTATTTTTGAACTTTGTTATCCCCGATAGTCATAACGTTCTGGCTTGAGCAGGAAAGGTTTCAACAATACTCTATAGGCGGAGCTTCCAATTTAGCCACGTGGAAACGCAAAGACAGCAAATTATTCTCTCAAGTGTCAACAAAGATTCGAAGTACCTTTGATTGAAAAAAAAACCAGAATTACAGCATCGAAAGTTAATCTTAGATAACAGAGGTATATTTAAAAATCATTAGTGCTCCAATTCCATATGTGCCGAGATGTATTGACATTGCATTTAAAAGAGAGACCAATCGAAAATGTGCGAGCTCACTTTTGATGGCAGAATTTTTTCTATAGCTTAGCATTGTTTTGATGAACTTTTGAGTTGTCGTGCGTGAAACGTCGTTTTGCAGCCTTAACCTTAACGACAGTAACTTTTCCGAGGCAAGCTATTGTCTGCCAAAATGCCTACCGCTGCTCTCCACACATCTTTGAAAATAAGAATAGCCGTCATATTAGAAATTGGAAAACCTGAATCTCCACAATTTACAAACTTCTTCCAAACACCCTCCCATCTGTGAACATATTCCGCTGAGAATAGCTCGAGGCGAAGACATGATAGCTGATTGAAGACAAGCCGAATGAATATGATGGGTAAGGTGGAACTTTTTCTACAAGTAAACAAGAAGTTTTTGGCGAAGAATTGCGGCCTGCGCCTTCACGAAGTCGTGACATCGGGCGACTTTCATCCCCCATACCTATTCTTATCTTTAGCAATTTTGTAAATCTTGTCAATCTCATAATCCTCCTTGTTCGCTTCTGTAGTCCTACCACCTTCCAAGAAATTGTAATGTATTACGTCCTCATTGGACCAATACAGGCTTACCCTCACTTTACCCTGATGAGCAGCTTACTCGGGCCCAAGGAGTCCTATGCGCAACAAACCAATGAAATTTCAGGTTGTCGCGTCCACTTTTATCATAAATTCTACCCAAAACTTCCGTTTCTACCGCAAAGGGGATGAGCTGTCGCGACAAGCTAACTGAGCTGAATTAAAAGGGCTCTTTTTAACCCTCAAAGGTGGTGGTCAACTGCGCCTTTAACAAACATCAGGTACTGTGGTTACTGACGCTCGGTCTCCTTCGATTCAAATCTATCAAATGATGCAAAAGTGTTCTTGCACTGCATTTCGTACCTTTCAGGAATTTACTTTCCTATGATTTAGTCCAGCCCTCAGCAGCACCTTCAACCATGCATACGGTAACTGCATTTCTGTCATATATTATTATCTTACTATTATTATATTCCATTTGGGTTGTGTGATTCTTGCAGATTTCAACTTATTCAATTTATCTAGACTTTCCTTAGCGCGACAGAGAAAGCATACAGGCCTATTTAAATAACTCTGCATGATAAGAGTTTGATAGGACAAGAACACCAAATTCTACCATACAATCACCCTATCTATATATGGGTAGATCAAAGAAATAACAACGCAACAACCCAGGAAAAGGAATGATGTCTAACTGAAATGTAGTCAGAGGTCTGGAACAGGCTTTAGCACAAAATCTCCATTAAACTTCAAGAAGACGAACTCCTGTGTGCAAAGTGAGAATACAATGTATTCTTTAAGCCACATTCTCTAGGTAAAATGTTTAAGCGCTAAGCAAAAAGCGAAAAGCTGCTTTGAGTACTTATTGCATTAACTTTAGCCAAAAGGTGCCAGGTGTTTGGTAAAAAGATAGGAGGATTTCTAACATCTATATTAGAAAGCGGTCGTACTCTCATTCTCGTAAGTTTCCATTTTCAAGTCTGAGGGAAAATTTGCGTACATATCTTCAAATTCTTGTTGTTTGTTCTTTAACCCATTTGATAGTACTATAGTTTATCACCAATTCGCTAAGAATCGCTTGGGTGAGCTATTGAAGGCACATCCGAAATTCCCGGCGCGTAACGTGTGCTAGCTAACCCTCCTTTCATGGAGCAGGCTTCTAGACGATCCTGTGTTTCTTTGGATGAGAACTGAAGGCTACTAGTACTGAAAAAGAAGCAGAAGGAGCTTCAAAGACTGCTTTGAGTACTTATTGCTCTATGGTCGCCAGGGCTCCGCTCAAATTCTTGATCTCTCTTAAAAACAAACTCCAGCTTGCTCCCTGGAGACCATGCTGAGACCTTCCATACGTATTCTGCAATTTCTACATATGCCATCTAACTACAAATGCTTTTGAATTATTGAGAATGCAAGTTTGAAGCTCCGGACGCTCGCGCCAGGCATCAAGTTGCCTTCTACGGAGCAAACTTTCAATGGACGCTGTAATACCGGATGATTTTGATTGTTATAAGATTATTATGGCGAAGACATTCCTCGAAAATTTCTGATCCGATCTGCCTTTGAACTCCTCTCAAAATATCATGCTGACCTTTGTTTGAAGCGAAATGAGACAAAACACAACAGCCCTACCTCTTGCACGGCAGCGCTTATCTTGCACCATTCATCGCCGAATATCCAGTTTCCGTTCGCAACAAATAGCAACGAGATCATTACTGAGAACGACAGATCCAATAGATTAACTAGTGATATGTGTGCAAATACAACATAAATCAGTGTTGTTCGAAACTTCTTGCTGAAATGCTAAGGTTTGCGTTCAAAAGTTGGGAGATATAAAAGAAAAACTTATATATGGGACCTTGTATAAATAGTAGTTAATAGGACGATGTTCAGAACATATGATGCTAGAAGTAGAGTTGCTGAAATAAGAGCTTGTGATGAATTTGAAAGGATGTGCCACTGTGTTTGTTTAGATCACCCAAAAGAATGGCATTTGTAGTCCTCAAACTAGCGGACGTTGAAGTTCTCATAGCAATATCCGCAATCACATCGTCTTCGGAAACATACTCTACGTAGCGAAGCAACATTTGTTGTTACCTGAAATTTTATAGCGTTATGCATATTAGAGTAAGCTGCAAGTGACGGAATTAACTGGATTGAAAGGAGAGCATTCGAAAGCAATTTACGACAGAAATTGATTCTTGCAAGTCCCGATCTAATCAAATTCTTTCTTCGGCTTTGCGGGCTACTTCAAGAAACTCTAATCCTCGTTAATGTATCAGTATATAATTTTATATTCATGTTATGAAATAATGCAACTGGTCAGCTTCATAATTACATTCTTCTTTGAATTTTTTGATGCTAGCAATATAGTACGATTTATTACGTTCATCCTTGTGTCATTATTCCGATTCTGTTATTTGAGACGTTATGTCCAAAACGCTAAAATGCAAACGCAAAGTGAAAGATCAGAAAAGCTGCAAAGCTGAAATATCAAGCTAGATCCCATTATAGTTTCTGTTTATTGAGTACTGCTAGAGGATCACAACGTTTGTTAGGCCACTTTTGGAAAGTAGGAAAAGAACAGTGACATTGAGGTTACAAGATAAGGTGCCCAAAACTGCCCAGAACAGAGAATGGAATTTCACTGAACTTAGATAAGTGAGATATGCAATACCGCAATACTTCCGCAAGCAAAACATGATTTTATGTAGAAGTTGTCAACGTCGCATCATCATAATTACTCTTAAAATGGGTGTGGAAGAAAAGTAGCATTTTAATCAGCAGTGAAAGCGAATCTACTGATGTGTTAAAGTACCGCGTTATCAGGGGTGGTAGTAATCCCCCTAAATTTGTCACAACAAGAACGAGCCATACTCGTGACAGCTCCCAAC